TCTATGTGCAAAAATAAGAAAGAAATATTATAAAAATGTCAACTAATAGGCTTAATTACAAAATTGTAATATGAATATAAAATTGCCTAATTTTTGTATTCAAAGTACTGCTATAGCACAGTGTTTGTAACACGCCGAGTTTCTTGCGAATTTCTTTTAATATCTGTAACTGCATCCTTAATTTTTTTTCCAATATATCACGTATAACTATTTCAGTTGCATAAACTTTTTCAGCCAATGTTGCGCACAAATAAAAATCTGAAAACATAAGGTCAAAAAATTTGGATAGCCGGGCAACTCATTTAATCCACCTTTCAGGATAATGATGAGTCATTTTTTGTTTATTTGATCCGAAAGTGAACAATGTAATTATTAGCGCCATCAAGTTATAGATGGTGTTCATATAAAATAAAAATTCGATAAGAAAGTGGATATTACTTTTAATAACCACGTCAGTTCAGAAAAGCAAAGCACAATATCATATTGATAAAATCTATAAATACACATATTCCTTATTTGGTTTAACTTTATCGTAGAGGTTTCCTGTTGTGCAATTTTTCTGTTATGTTGCCATTGCGCTTATTCACGAGCATAGTCAACCGTCTCGCTCGAGCTCATCGCTTTCGCACCTGGGCGCACTCTATTCTTGTGCTTTGATTGATCCATATTTTGCATTAATAATTCAAAAACTAATTTGATTATTTGTTTATATATTTTCTTTCATAAACATTTATTGTTTACCCCCTGTAACGTCATCCGATCTTGATGTCACTTGTATTTGTAATTTTTAGTTTAATTTCATTTGTTTACCGCAGCAAAGAGTAATGTCTTATTATTGCACTATTTCTTTGTAATCAAGAAATTCATTTATAGATTTACAATTCCTGCTTTCATATCAGAATTGTACGAAAAGTGCGTATACAATGATTCTTTTTTTAATTGCGTCTAACAAGGGACATCACCAAGGTGTCACACGCGGATTTTAATGAAATTGACATATGTTGTAGCTTTTTAAAAATCATTTGACACGTATTTTTTTATATCTGCGGACATCTATGTTGAGGGGGTGAAAATAGCCCTCAAAGTTCGGGGTTGAAAACACATTTTCTTTAATATCTCGGAAACTAGAGGGTGTAGGAAGGTGAATTTTTTTTTAAATTGTGTAGGTTTTAGTCAGGAACTTAGTTAGTGACAAATATTTCGGGAGAAATTATTTATTTAAATAATATATTAAAAAATTGGACTTTTTTTTCAATTTTTCACCCTAAATGCAGTTCGACTTTTTTGTAGATTTATATTCGAAAAATATGCATCAAAATAGGGGATACGTGTTTTTGAAATTTTTT